CCTTACAGTCATACCATGTATTTCTGCAGCTCATCTCAAGGCATCCCTAGCACACACTGCTCCATGAGCAACTGATGTTAAACTACACATTTACCCAAGTTGTCTTCTAGGAGATTAATTTATATGCCAACCACAAAAGCGTGATCAACACAGTACACTGCATAGTCAGCTAATCCCAGGTGAAGACTGATCAACGGAATGGTGGAAAGGATGAGAAAAAAATATACTTAAAAGTACATTGAGAATTTGCTGTTGTTTGTGCCTATAATGCCCGTAACATCCACTAGAATGTCAGCTAAGAAAATCTGCTCTTACAAAAATACAGTTCTATAGTCAAATACATTAAGCTACCTTAGAGGAAGGAAAAAAAGAAAAATTGACCCTTGGCTGCAGCTGTGTTAACCCAGATGACCAAACAAATGAAACAGTATTTTTTTAAAAACAGATTTATAAATCAAGGAAGCCCAAGTACTCTTCAGAACTCTACATGTATTTCAAGGAATCCTTGCATCAAGAAAGGCCCAACATGTAACAGAAAACCAGAATACACATTTGCAAGACTGCGTTTTGTAAATATAATAATAGTATCATCATCTACCACTTGGAATGCCTGCAAAATTAGTAAAATTTAACTGAAGGATTAAAATCATACATCCTAAACTCTTTGAAATTACTTTCACTTCTACTCAAAGAGAAAAAGGTTTCAACCTAAATAGTATTACTTGCAGAAATGGTAGGTACAGGATTAATTCTGCAACCAAATTATTCAGAGCAAAGTACACCTTTATTTCAACACCCTTCATGGTTTCAGAAAAACATGCAGGAAGAATGAAGGAGCTTATAAAGAAACTCATTAATAGTTAATGCAAACTGAACATAAGGCATAACAGCAGCAGCAAGAAAAAACACAGATCAATTTCAGACTTATGGATAAAATAAAAAAAACCAACATGAGGTTCAGAAAATATTCAAGTCAACACAAACGAGCAAACTACAATCTCTGGTAGCACACAGAAATAATTTGTATTTTAGTTATAATTGACTTCATCTTAAGATTTATTGATTTCACCTGTACTTTTTCCAGGAAATTGAGTTATTCAAAATGGAGCAGAAACCACTTCAAAAGTAGCTATAACTGACTGAAATAAATTTAAAGTAAATAAAAATTACAGTTCTGTAAAAAAAAAAAAAAAAAAAAAAATTAGTTTTCTGACATTGCCTATAAAATAATAGGCCTAAAGTAGAAGCCTTTGAGTATCTGTGCACTAGGTAAATTTCTCTCTGGAGTGTGATGTACAAATTACAGTCAGTCTGATTTAGTATTTTCTCTGCAGAAGCTGTTAGTTGCTCAAGCATAATGGTTTAGTACAATAAATGATAGATTTTACAACACTTCATATAACCCAAGACATTTCATTACACTTAAAAAAGTTATAAGTGTAATCTTTAAAAAAATTCAGTTTAAACTTGCTATTAATATATTTAGTCTATACATTATTTGAAGTGTTAAGGGATGTGGCATAAGAAGACAAAATACAATAAAGCATTCACCTCAAAGTAGACATTTTCTAGTCACTTTCACTATTTCTGTGCAATTACGTACAGTGAAATGATGGAATATTAGGTACCACTTAGACACAGAAAATTATTTCTGTTCAATAATAATTCTAAGGTACTAGTTTAAGACCATAGTTTTTCCTAAGAGGCAAGTAATTCTGAAAATACATGAACTTTTCTATCAAGAAGTTGAAAGGGAAAATGGTAGAGCTATTAATCCCCATCTTGTCCAACTCTTCTTTAACCACTGACTTTGCAACATAAACGATCTACCTGGAGACTTCCTGAAGGACCCTCAATGGAGCCCAATGTCATTGGTGCTCCACATGCCTTACAAGTTCCAGATCAGATTTCACCCCCTCTTTTTTAAATGATCAACAATATTTGCTTGGAATAAATGCATTTTGCCAGCCCAACCCTTGTGTAACAGAGAAGAAAATGTAGAACCAATTCATACAAACACACTCACAGCCACAGGAATTAATACAATAAACTTGGAAGAAATTTGAGTTGAAAAGTAGGCTCTAGAAAGCATTATGGACAATGTTTCAAATCACCTTAAAGCAACACATTTCCTTCTCCTTTGACTGAGTAGAATGGTTGTAGAGACAAAGGAGTGACCTGAAACTGTCCACCTCAAGAAGAAAAAAAAAAAAAAACTCTCCCAAAAAACCAAAACCACCACAGCTTTTCACTCATTCCAAGAACATTGCTGAAATTTTCCTTTGTTGAATATAGTTTGGATCTGAAAGCCCTATTTC